AATTGCCCCGAAAAAGCTGGTGCATTTCTGGAACACAGAACAAATGCTATGAAGTTGTATTCGAATACCAGTAGGATTAGAAAAACAGAGATAAAACTAAATTCAGGCAATTTAAAGTCATTCTATTAAGCAAATTATGTCCAGATTTTTTTGGGCATTCTTTTAAAGAGCTGATGAAAATAATTTCTTAAAATATTTACTACATTACAAAATTCAATAATGCTCAGTAAGGATATAAGGAATAAAAAGATTTTATTGCAAAATCAATGCAGTATGAAATGTGACATAAATATTTTAAACAAGCAATGATTTTTTAAAAAGAATCTGTGTTGTACCAGTTTTCTCAAAACTAGAAAAACCTTTAGAACTTAGAGAAATTTTGGGTTTAATGTTATTGTTTGCTTTTTTGAATTCTTAAACCTGTTATTCCCTTGCAGTGGATCATTTAATTAATTGTTAGCTTAAAATTATCCAAATAATTGAACTAAATATAACAGCAGTCTACAATTCTGTGGGTATAGGAGACATTAATGGACAACCCGTGTTTAATTGGATAATGTTTTTCTTCAGTTAATCTCTTAGCACTTTTGATGCACTATTAACATTTCTGTAGTGTTTAAATTTGGTGCTGCTTCTGAGGAGCAGTGAAGCCCCCAGTGGCTGCTCCCTGGTGCTGGTCCCTGTGCTCACACAGCCTGAGCCCTTCAGGCTGGGTGCATTTCCCTTCTGGGCCTCCTTGTCCAGTTTCTCTCCATCCTTCCTCAGTCTGTTGATGTTCTTGGCAGTCTCTTGGTGTCCCCCCATGGCAGAGGGAGCGTTTCCTGCTGGTTTGCTGGGGTCAGGTGGCCTTTCAGGCTGGGCAAGGTGACAGTTCCCATCCTCTCTGTGTGGTGTTTTGTTTGCAGCAGCCTCAGCTGTGCTTTGCCCCAGGTGTAAGGGCAAGGAAGTGAAGCAGCAATCCCCCTTTTTCGTAGTGGAGTCATCTCTTCTCCATGGGAAACTCCTCACTGGCCGTGTTCTCTTGTAACGTGTGCTTGTGGGGCTTTGGGGTCCTTCCTTTCCACCTCCCCGCATCCACAGCTGAGGCTCCAGTCTCTCCTCTGGGTGGTCTTTCCAGTTTCATCTTTCCCAGCCTGTAGGTTTGTGTGGTGTGTTGTTCCCTGCTCTGACTCCCATTCCTATGGAAGTATCACTCCTTAATCAGTCAGCATTTTCCACAGATCTCCTGCTATTCTAATTTCTTTTTTGTCCCTCTTCTCCCTACACTTCTTGTTCCCTTTTGCATCTCTGGTGTCTCGTGCATCTTTCTAGGAGCAGATACTTTGCAGCAGCCCCTTCTCTAGCCCAGTCATTTGCACTTCATTTATCAGTGCAGGTTTATTTAATTGCAGCTGCACGTGGGATATTTGTTAGTGATGTTCATTTGAGCAGAAGTGAAGCAACCCACTGTATTTAAGAAAATCTGAAGTTGTTCTGTTGATTTGGAAGTGGGAGCATACGGTGAAGGGTTTAAAAATAAAAAAGACTTCAGCTACAGCTTGCATATTAAATTCACAAGTGAATGTGCACATTTTTTCAGCATTGTTGAGCTTTCTTTACTGTTTGGTTGCAACAGAGCGATGCTTTGGGACACGAGCCCGGTGTGTATTGTATTTCCAGCCTGGCTTCCCAAGTCTGTCCTGCCTGCGTAGGAAAGCCTTGCAGAGCCAGCCTCACCTTCAGAGGTGGCTGTGACACAGAAGGGCTGAGCACGGTGTTCCTGCCTCATTTATTTTGAAAACTTTGCTACTGAAACCAAACTTAATCAATGAGCTCTGTGTTGTCTCCGATAAGTTATGTACTGGCTTTATTGATTGGGAAGGATTTTAGAAAGCCCATGTGGGGTTTATAATGTCAGCAGTGTTTTGATTATGAAAAGAGCTGGAACCTTGGGACGGGGAGCCAGGTGGTGCCGGGGCTGCAGCCCCCGGTGCCGCGGCTGCGCCGCATCCCCCGGGACGCGGTTCATGCCCTGCACTTCAGCTCTGGTGGCTGCCTGCTGGAGATGCACTTCTTGCTCATTAAAATGTTAAAAATCAAACTGCATGTAAAAAGATTTGTGAAAATATAAACTTGGGGATTGATCCAGAAAACCGGCGCGTGGTGCCCTGGAGACCCCGGCGGCAGCTCCCGGGTGTTCTGCGCTGATCAGCCGCCTGTCCTGGACTGCTGGGGGGCTCTGCTCTTCTTTAGGGGCTCCTGCTTCACAGGCATTTCTGCAGGTTTTTCTTTAGGAAAATAGCCATAAGGGAGTAAAACGAGAAAACAGACTATTGATACTTCCTCTGTGCTTCATGTTGGGTTAAAAAAAATAAAAATATAAGATGAACAGACTATTGATACTTCCTCTGTGCTTCATGTTGGGTTAAAAAAAAATATATATATATAAGATATAGACATGGAGCAATTGTAGGTTTTGTTTTGTCTGAAATCATAAAGAAATGAAGGATTTTCTAGGTCCTAAGTAACAATCTATAGAGGTTGGGTAGAATGTTGCATATACATGTTGTAGGTATTGCTTATCTTTCAAACTGAGGAGTATTTAAAGAATTTTTTAAAAAGCAGCATTATGTTTAGAGTAACGAGCTTGCAACTTGAGCAAAAATGGGATAGTTCTTCAGTAACTGTTTTCTTACATGCAAAAGATCAGCAGTTTTCCTAATTAAAAACTAATTCTACATATGGTATTTGTTTTGTTAGTTACCATTGAAAAATAAGTCTGCAGTTAACCTGTGCTAGTCTCAGTTTTTTTGGTTGTGAACTGAGGCAGATAAGAGTTAGTGTATAGTGAATAGCAAATTATATTGAATGACATTGCAAAAGCCAGATAATAATATCACTGTAAAATCCTTCTCTAAAAGAGAAGGCAGTTTGGAGCAGTACAGGGCCAGTATATGGCCTGTTTACGTGAACATTTCCTTTGCTGCATTTAGGAAGCTGTAAATATCAAGGAATAAGTGCAGAGGAAGTTCTGAGTAATGCACTTCTCCAGTGACACAATGCTGATGAGATGCTGAATGGTTTATTATGTGAATGGTTTTACTTGCAGTTACAGGAATTATTCAAGTCATCAACATAATAGAGAGAATATCTTCTGCCATTTTGAGGTGATTAATGGCTTTGTCTTCTAACACTATTTTATTTTAGAATGTTGTGTATCTATGTGATTTTGTTTCTAAAAATCAATGTGTATTGATAAGGCCAGCAAAGATGCAGGCACTTTGTTCTCCTGATATAATAATTTCACAATTTTAGAATTCTTTTGTGGGTTTTGTTTGTTTGCTGGCATTTTGCACTGTGAGAGTTCAGTTGTGGCAAAGGACCACTGTGCAGTAGTTAAAAATTTGTCCAGATGCAGTTTTTGTGCCTGAGCAATTGGAGTTGTTCAGCTTGTGAAGTCAGTGAGATTCTGCCCCAGCGGGAACCCAATCATATTAATGAGACCTTTACTATCAAGGCATTATTTTGTATCAAAATAGGGATTTCTGCAGAGTTTACTCTGCAATCTACATAGCTCCTTTCCAAGTTTCCTGCTGCAATTCAAAGGAGGAGACGTCTTTGCTCTACATGGCATTCTTCAATAGATCCTTTCTTGTTCTTTAAAAACAGGAGGTTGTTAAATAATCTATCAATAAACTGTCAAGAAGTCAAAGTTTCCATATCTGTTTTTGCCTGAAATCCTCAGAACTTGCCACATTTTAGTTGTCAAGAAACCACCAAAGAAGAGTGTGAGCAGTTGAGCCTGAAAGCACGGCTCAGGATGGGCTGTGCTTGTTTGAATTATGCAGGAGGAACATGTTCCTGCAAGGGAGTCAATATGTTTTGTGCTTCACTGGAGAGGTTATTAGATTGATGGAGTTTATTTGGGAATGATGGCATTTGCTTAGAAATAAATGAAGCAAGAAGCATCTATTTAGTTATTGATGATAATTTATTGCTATTGGTCAGAAAAGTGTTGATTTGATCAGAGGGTTTGTTGTTTGTTCAGGGCTCTGAAAGCAGAAATGGAATTTACACTTCAGGACCTGAAATATTGAAGTGTGAAGGAGAATGAGCAATGAATTGGCTGTAGGAAAGATCTCTAAACTGAGAGAACTTTATGGTGTCTTGTGGGTTACAGAACTCAAATTTTGAAGATCTAATGGTTAGCTTTGTCTATGAACACAACTATTTTGGGACTAACATATTTCTGGTTTTGCCTCTTTAGCAACTGTATTTGTTTAATGTCGTAAAGTTGAAAATTATTAATTTATCTGCTGATCATGTTTTCACTTTTCATATTCATCCTTTTCTTTGCTCTCATGCTTAAACGCTTTTCTGTTTGTGGTGCTGCTTTGCAACTTCTAGAAAATGGTTTGTAGGTTAAACAATCCATATCAATTTTAATACACATTATTTTAATCAGTCTTTTAACGCCGAGATTTCCTTTCTAATAGCAGTAGGCAACATTAAACATTCCTGCTATGAGACCTATTGGCTTCATCTTTTGTTATTTATCTTGCTGATGTTGGGAAGCATTCTGTAATCCCCAGACCTCTGTTCCTAGGTAACAGTCAAAAGCTGTGCCAGCAGAAGTGGTCCTGCCAGGCCAGGCCCATGTGGTTTGGTGTTATTCACTGCGATCCATATGGTCAGGGTAGGGGCTGTCCCCAGAGAGGTGTTAACACTCAACAACCCAACCTCCTCCTCCTCTTCCGAGGATTGCTGGATGGCTCCTGCTGCCTGCCCATGTGTGAATCTTGATTAATTTTTCATTTTTAATGAAGTTTGATCATGTTTATTATTTCACATGATTGACTGCCTGGTACTACTTCCATGTAATTGATAAAGCCCATATTTCTTCATCTGTCTTTTATTTCTTCAGGGCAAACTTGTGAAATTGTGTGATGTGGTTAATATTAGATTTATTGGTCCCCATAGATGTATAAATTATCTTTTTTTTTCTCTCCCTCTCTCTACAGGAAGTTCTACAGACTCTGACCAAGTTTTGTTTCCCCTTCTATGTGGACAGGTATTGTTAGCTTTTCAAGCTTTACAAGAAAATAAGCTTGTCAATAAAACCCCTGTAGAAAATAAAAGCCATACCATTCATAGTGTTCTGTCTGTGTGACTGGGACTTAAAGCACCTGAGTGCAAATTATAGTCTCAGAATCACTTTTTCCCGGGGTTTTTATGGGCACCATGAAACAAAAAGAAATTTTAAAAGTTGGAGTTGTTCGGTGGGAGTACTCCGAGGGCATTTTTTTCACTTCTGCACAATGCTTGGATGGAAAATGCTTGGGTAGGAATTATCACATATACATATTAATACCAAAGCTTTGTCTGCTTGTGCATTTTATTTCTTAATTGCGAAAATTGGGGTGGAACAATTAATGAAATGCTTTACATTTGAAGGCCTCTTGATGTTGCTGGGATGCTGCTGTTTTACTTGACAGCTACTTAAGGTGACTTCTGATTTTGGGGAGAAATTGTAAAGTGAATGTGAGATGTGAAAATATTTACTTCCTGTAATTTAGGAAACTTTAGAACTTTTTTAGTTTTGCATTTACTGTGAGTTGTTCTTGATGGTTTCATGAAATGAACAACAATTGAAATTTTGAAAGACTGCACCAGTGCTCACCTCATCTCTGAGCATCACTTAATTGGTCAGAATGACTCGTCTTCATCAGCTGAGACACAGAATGGTTTGGGTTGAGGGAACTGACCTTTACTGTGATTAAACTGCTGCAAGACTTTTTCTCATTTTAGAATTTGGAATCCCTGTTTTACTGCTCATCCTTTTCATTTCCTGAGGGGTGGAAGCAGGCAAATACTCATACATTTTTCTCATGTATTTGTTTCTGCTAGAAATAGTTATGCTTTCTGTGTGTAGATTTATTGTACCTAGGGGTTTTGTTTGTTTTGTTGTTTTTGGTTTTCCTCAGCAATATAACATTTTGAAAGATAGAACACTGAAAACCCATATGGGGTGCAAATGAGAACATAATGAAAAGTGATTCCCATTTCTGGATCCACTTGTTTGTCTGAATATCACAGACTGTCACTGAAAGACTGCAAGCCAGCCAGTTTGAACGAAAAGGAGACATTGTCACCCAGAACACACTTAATAATTTCAGAGGGAGAGTGGACTTCCCACCCTGCAGGAGGCAGAGCACCCCCAGGCTGAGGCTGTGGCAACTGAAGGAGGTGCCTGTGCTCCTTCTCTTGTGGCTGTAAAAACAGGCACTGGTGGCACTGGAGCTCCTGGCTCTCAGGGGCACAGACACTCCATTCTTTTTACATTGATTCTGTTCTTGTGTTGTGGCCACTGGTCAGAACCCAGGGACACTTGGCCATTCCTTCAGGCAATGGCCCAGGAGTTTTCTGCTCTTGGGGTGGTGGAATGAGGCAGAGGCCCTTCTGCAGCTGCAGCAGTGCAGAGCTGCTCCTTGGTCCTGCTCCCTGCCAGGGTTGTGTTGGTCAGGTGGAGGTGCTGGGGGATTTTATGGAAATCATTCCCTCCCCTTCCCTCCAGCCATAACTTCTGGCTGCCCCCTTAGAGAGGAGATTGATGCTGCTTCCATCCTGGGAGACTCTAAATAGACCTGCCTGTTTGAAAGCAGAGCTGTGAGTCTGAAGGGCTGATACTAAAATCTTAGGAAGAGCACTTTTTGTGTGGGGAAGTTTATCCTTCCCTGTGAAAAACTGGCACTGAATGGAGCAGGACCTGTCAGCAAGGTTTGGCTTTCCAGGTCACATGAATGCAGGACTCTCTGGGTTTGCTCTGGAGGAACTCCCAGCTTGTCTGAGTTGTTTAATAAACAAGCTTCTCCCTGCTGCTAATGAAACGTGGTTTTTCCCCTGTTCCATAATTTTAATTGTCAGTTCTAATGCTATTTCTCACACACGCTCTGCTCTCAACCTTGTTAAAATTAAGCATATAATCCCCTTTTAAAACACCCTACTAAAATCACCATAGTAACATTACATCCAAGCTTTACAGATAAAACACACCACCAGTGAGGGATTTTTGGGTATCCCCAGCAGCTCCGTGTGGTTTATGGAAGTAGTTGCTCTGCTGACATTTAGATTTCAGGAGGTTGATAGTACTCATACTGGCTAATTCTCAGACTATTGGAATGCTTTAAATATCTGTCTTTTTGTTCATCTTCATCACAGCATGCTTTCCCTTCCCTGTTTGGAATCCACTGAAGGGTTCTTCTTTCTAAGCTGGACAGTGACATCTTTCCCATTTGGATCCAGCTTTTAGTTCTGCAAGTCTGTTTTTCCTTTGTTTCCTCTAGGCACTGAGTGTGTACTCTCCCACAAAAACTGGATTTTTGTATGTGGCATCTTAGAAGAGAATATTTTAAGGCCTGTGACTGTTAAATGGCTTTGAATTTACCAGGGTATTTGTTGCAGTTAGTAGGAGTGACTTGTAAAGCTACATGTCAGTGCAAGTCAGATTTCTCAGTTCTCAGAAAATCTAAAAAAACCCTAGAACATGACCTGAAATAAGTCTTAATTTCCTATAATTAGAAGTATTTGGGTTATATGAGAGAACATGGGGTTGGTTGCTGGTTGATAATCAGAACCATTTTCTTTTAAAGATAAACTCATTATTAGTATCCTCCCACACTTGAAAAATGGGAAAAATAAACCACAAACCCCCCACTCCTCCCTCATCAAGCATATTTAAGCTTCTGGAGGGTGCATACTTTTTTGTTGATTTCTCAAAAAAACTCTGCTGAAAGAGGAAATGTTATAGGTTCAATGACTTGGATGTGATACTTGACACAGAGTTAGCTCAGCAGTAATTTTTCTCTCCTGCTTTCTGTTCCAGCCATGCCATTAACCAAGTTGGGCAGAACTTCACCTTTGTGCTCACAGACATTGACAGCAAGCAGAGGTTTGGCTTCTGTCGCTTATCTTCGGGGGCCAAGAGCTGCTTCTGTATCTTGAGGTAGGTCTGTGGTTTGGCTTCTGGCTGACTGCAGGAGCAGTGCTTGGCTTTGCAGTTACACTGCAATCACCATTCCCAGCTGCTCAGAATGATTTCCCTATCTGGTCCTCAAAGTCACTGTTCTTCTGCACAAGTGGTGCAAAATCCCTTGCACTTGGAGTTCCTCTGTAGATAACTGTATTTGTTTGTAGTCAACGTTCTGGAGTTAACAACGTGGAAAAAAAGTCTCTTTGTGGTAATTTGATATGACATAGCATGATGGCAGCTGTTATCTTTAGCTGTCACAACTGATCTTGTTAAGACATTTTGTGGACGTTTGTACATGCAAGTTTTATTAACAAAACATCTGTTGGTAACTGAGAGGATGTCACTGATGCTCTCCACAGCCCCAGAGTGTGTATGTGTGAGCCTTCCTCTGTCCTGTTGAGGGTTTTGTGAAGCTTGGCATAATGAAGACTGTCAGTGGAAGGTGGAACTATGCATTTCACAGAAAATGGGCCAAGAGGCTCTATCAGAGCAGTTTCTGATAGCCTCCCCCAGCCATGTTGGAATACAGTCCAGAAATTATGCCAGTAAAATCAATTTTGGTGTCTACCAATATTTTAGTTCCATTAAGAACTTCCATGGATTTAAGATTTTCATGTGGCAAATGGTCTGTCTTGTTTTAAACACATTTAACAATTGCCTGTCTTCTACTTTCTGCTTTTTGTGTGTTCATGAGGAATTGAAGTTGAGGAGCGGTAGCCCAGGTAAAGCCAGCACAGAGGTGACAGGACAGCCAGGGAGGTGACAGCACAGCTGGGGCTGCAGCCTCCCAGATGAGGGCACTGCTCTGTGAGCAGCTGGCACATCTGTCAGGGCCATCCCTGGCTGGCTTTGCACAGGACACAACAGGGTGAGGACAGAGGAACTTCTCTTTGTCCCATGTGGGGACCCATGTGGGACCCTGGCTGTGTCTGGATGTGCCCCTCTGGAGCATTCCAGGGGGGACATGGCAAAATACAAGGTCACCTCTCCTTGCAGGGGGCTGCACACAGCAATGCCATGGAATGGGAGCTTAATATATGGAGAAATTGTGAGATCTACCCAAATTCCTAATGAATTGAGTGGGAGGCGGAGTGACAGGTGTTTGCTCAGTATCTTCTTCCATCCTGTCTGTGCTGTAGCAGACACTTCAGCTATTATTAGCTCTGGCAGTCCAGCAGCAGGGACTGGATCCTGCAGGCAGGAAGGTGTTTCCCAGCTCTTCCCACAGAGCTGCTCCCCTGAGCAGTTGGGTGCTGGTTCCCTCAGTCTCATGTGGGCTGTGGCTGCTTACAGAGGGTAACTTTGCCTGATCAATGTCAAATTAAAGGAGAAACACGATTTTAAAATGAAAATCTGAATGAGGAATAGTCTGGGTCCCTTCTTGATCCCTCCTGGATAAGAGTTCTTTGCTGTCAGCTCCCTTATGTTGAGTGAGTGCCAAGAAGAAATGGAGGAGTTCTGTTGTAGTTAAATGCCTTCTGCTTCAACTCATAACCAAAAAAAACCAACCACAGTGGATGAATTGGGACTCTTCACTTCCTTCCTGTTGCTTCTGTGCACTGATGAGAAGAAGAAAGCTCATCATTAATGCAAGTTCATGCAAGTTTCAGAGGATAATAAAGAGTGTAAATCAGCAATACATGAAATCACTTCCTCTATTCCCAGGACTGCAGCTCCCATTGTTGATGTGAATCTTCTCAGTGTCCTTTATGTACTAAAGGATGGTGCATGGTAAATGGGTGGGGGAAAACATGCTGAAAAATGCGAGAATGATTAGTAAAAGCAAATGGGGATGAAAAGAACGTTTGTTTAATTGTTTTTAAATTACAGATTGGATGGCAGCAAGCCTCAAGTATTCCTTGCTATGCTCAGCAGCAGTATAAGAACTAAGTGATGGTGTTTATTACTAGAGATGATATTCATAGGCTTAGCAGGGATTTTGTGGGTCTGGCCATGGTAAAATGGTTTGGAGGTGGAAAATCATCACATGTTTAGATTAGTTATTGAAGAGAAACAGCAGGGAAAAAAAATTCTTTTCACTCAGAGAGTGCTTGAAAAAATTTCTGCGATGTTCTGGAAGCAAAGTACTCTAGGGCCAGAAGTCAGGGTCTGGACTTGAGCTTTGAAGTGACCCAGAGGCTTTTCCCTGTGGATGCAGAGCACAGCGAGGCGCCTCTGGGAGTTCAGCAGCAGTGGGGTTATCCTGTGGCCAGCACAGAGGCAATTCCATTTGGCAGGGAACTGTTGGGCTGTTTTAACGAGCACTGCTTAGAAACCTGCTTTTGAGGTAGTTCCCACGGCGTTTTTCCTGCTGTAGTAGCTCACACAGATTGATGAACTCTCTGATAACTCCGAAACCTGCTTTTCCGGGTGTTCTGTGGTGTTTTCAATGTCGAAATTCAGTGTCGAGCCTGCCTCCCTTCTCCGGGTCCCTCCTCCCCGCCCCGGGCTCGGCTGGAGCCGCGGGGCCCGCCCGGGCTGACCCGAGCGGCTGCGCTGCGGCGGCGGCGCCAGCAGAGGGAGCGCGGGAGCGCGGGGACGGCCCGGAGGGAGGGGTGAGGGACAGGGACCGGTGAGGGACAGGGCCCGGTGAGGGACAGGGCCCGGTGAGGGACAGGGCCCGGTGAGGGACAGGGCCCGGGGGTGAGGGACAGGGACCGGTGAGGGACAGGGGCCGGTGAGGGACAGGGCCCAGTGAGGGACAGGGCCCAGTGAGGGACAGGGCCCGGGGGTGAGGGACAGGGGCCGGGGGTGAGGGACAGGGACTGGGGGTGAGGGACAGGGCCCGGGGGTGAGGGACAGAACCTGCTCTGTCCCCTGAGGGGACAGGACTGAGGGTGAGCCCAGGTGAGGGGCAGAGCCCACAGGGTTTGGGGTGAGCCCAGGTGAGGGGCAGACTCTGCCCCAGAGGGTTTGGGAGGACTCACCTGAGCCCAGGTGAGTTCTCATGGCACACACCCACATCTCCCAGAGAAATTCGAATTCCAGACTGCCTTTTTCAATGAAACATGGTACAAAACTTAAAATGGCTTTTGAATTATTTTCTTTACAATTGAGTAAGAGCTGATGTCCAGTCATCAAATTCAGTGTTCTGATTTGGGAATTTCACACCCAAATGTCTTTTCTTTCTAAGACTTCACTTAAGGATTTCAAGATTTCAGCTGCAATAGGATAAATCCTAATGGCTATACATTAAGAGGTTGAATTTTTATTGTTTCTCTCTAATTTCACATCAGATTTCACATGGGCTTTTGAGAGAGAACACTGTAGATAGTTCTGGATTAAGTGAAACGCTCTGGTCTTTTATTTAAAAAGAAAACAAAAGAAAACCCAAGTTTGTGTAATTTTGCTTTGGTTCACAAACTTTCTGGGCAAAGTTACAGGTTTGCAAAGGTCCCATGTTTGCAACTGTGATTTCAGTTCTCCTGAATTTGAAGTTTTTCTTGGGTTATTCAGGTTTTGTACGCAAACTAAAATCATTCTTTTGAAGTGAAATGCAGAAACATTTGTGTGGAAATCCCTCTCGGCCAAAATAGCTGAGCTCTGCACCACTCCTTTTCTAAGATAAAAAGAAATGAATCCATAATAGTTTGTGACAGATGGCAGAAAATGTAACTAACTGAATGTGATTCTGTATGGAGTTATTTGAGGTTTTTGGTGTGATTTGTTGTGAGTTCCTCTCCTCCCCCCCTTTCCTTCCCTTTGATTGCAGTCTTTGTCCATTTATTCTTAGGACAGAATAAGATTTCTGAGCAGGGGCCTCTCTTGTGGTGCAAAGTGAGAATTGTTTTTAATTGAGCAGAAACATGTGGAAGGATCAGGAATATCTCAAGGGATTACAGAAAAATTCCAAATTTGTACTACTTACAGCTTGTGTTTAGAGCGGGGTCTGCTGGGAATAAATGTTAGTTAGTGTGACCTGTGACCTTAAAAACTGTTGACATGGATTTCAGCCAGAAACTGGCCACAGAACTCCTTTGTTAGGCTCATTCATAGCTCCTTGAAAACTCCAGTCAGTGAAAGTTCCTCTCCTCAATCTAAGGAAAGCAGAGCCCTTTTTTTTCCTTTTTTTTTTCTTTCTTTTTTTTTCTTTTCTTTTTTTTTTTTTTCTTTCTTCCCATGCTTTGGAAACAGTGGCCGCCCCTTAACCAGCAAGACTCCTTTAATAGGGCTGTAGGGCCGGGCCCTGATTGGAACTGACAGCTTCCTGGCCCGGGCGTGCCAACTGGCAGGGCCCTGGGCCATGGGACAGACAGACAGACAGACAGACAGCGCCGGGGGCTGCACTGCCCTGCTCTGCCCTGCCCAGAGCCCCGGGCAGGCCCACGGCCCCGGGACCTGCTGGGGACAATCCAGCCCCAGGACCTGCTGGGGACAATCCAGCCCCAGGACCTGCTGGGAGAGGGACCAGCCTCAGGGATCTGCTGGGGACAATCCATCCCCAGAGCCCTGCTGGGGACAGTGCAGCCCCAGAGCCCCAGGGACCTGCTGGGGACAATCCAACCCCACAGCCCTGCTGGGGACAGTGCAGCCCCAGAGCCCTGCTGGGGACAGTGCAGCCCCGCAGTCCTACTGGGCCCTAACTGGGGAGAGGCTCAGCCCACAGTCCTGCTGGGGAGGGAAAAACCCCACAGCTCTGCCAGTGCCTGCTCTGGGGGAGGAGATGGAGTGCTTGTGATGGGGCTTGTTTTATAGTAATTGTCCTGTTGTTTTCTAGAATTTTCCCTTTTCATTGATTTGGCCGAAATCAATGTTTTGCTTCCATATCTATATGATTCTTTGAAGCCTTGCAGAAGATGTTTGGTAATGGCTGGAAATGCTTGGAACACTTTTTGGACAGTCTGTTTGGTCCTTGAGGTGTATCGACCCTGGAATCCCTGTTCTACTTAAAATGCTTGGGAGATGAAAGCAAATGGCAAACTGCTTCTGTTAGACATGGCAAAGGCCACAAAATACATGTATAAATCATGGGC